CCAATACGCCCTCCCCTGATAATAAGGCCCAAGCCATATTTTGTGGGTCAAAAGAAAATAAGACCCTGTCTTATTTTGGGGGAAACACGGTACTTTTAAGGATATGGAGTGCTTAGAGTCTCCAACAAAGATGAACATTTAAGCCAAAAAGGTGGGTCTTCATCTCTGAATTTTCCAGTTCTTCTTCCTTGCAGCCTAGGTTTCAGAGTAAGTATATTTGGCATGAAATCAAATAAAGAAATAAAATTAAAATGGTGCACTTATGAGTCACAATTCACAGGCTGGCCAAAGTCCAAAAGAACCCGAGGGTTCCAATTTATTCCTTTCAGAAAGGAGAAATTCTAGTAATTTAGGATTACCCACCTGGGCAAGGAGTTCTTTATAAGGATTTACAACATTTGTTTATATGCTTCATTGACTTCTTTATTATTGGATAATACAGCTCCTTTCTTTACTTTCTCCTTCTCTCTCTCCAGATTTCTTATTCCTCTGGATACTTTTGCCAAGAGGCAGCTGTTATCAGAGAAGAAAAAAATAGTAGAAGGCCCAAACGTGCAAATGCAAATAGAAATACAAAAGAAGTTGGCAACGCCTCCAAATACCATCTCAGTTGTGAGCCAAAAAAATGATTCCTCTTACTCAAAAACCCTGTATGTGCTGTCAACCCATCATATCATTGTCAAACTTAATTTTTATTTTTTAGTTCACCTTTTCAAATGTGTTCTATCCAAGCGTTGGCTAATTCTGGAAACTTTCCATTGAACAGAATAATCAATATTGGGCTACATGGACAAATGATTTGCCCTGGTATAAGGCAATTTACTGTGCTCCCATAATGAAAGATTCTAAATAAGAAATCCATAGCAGTAGGGAGTCTTGTGTAGCTGTTTAGGCTTAGATATCTCTATGACAATTCTGGAAACATCTGGCCTTTGTTATTTCTCTTCATTGTTGGTGGTGCTTGTTGACCTATTCTCTTTGGCCATCCGTTAGTGAAGCAAAAGGAGCAAAATCCCTGGGGTGGTAAACTTTCTCTGCAAGAAAGACAGACTAACTGAAAACAATAAGAGAGTTCAAATTCAAGAAGAAGGCTAAGCTTATTTTGGAAGCAGAAGGAACAAGGATAATCTAAAGTTAGCAATACCCTTGCTACAAAAACTAGAGGGCTCATTTGATAATACATAGAGGAATTCATGTTTGTTCTCATTTCCTGTACCATCTCTCCAGTGAACAAACTACTTTAGATATCAGATAAAACGTGATGACAGTAAATATGTTTGCTGAAATCTGGGTTTGTAGAACAAAACTAGCACACATGAATATCTTTTATGGATTCTTAGGTCTCAGTCAGCTTAATTTCTGACAAAGAAATGAATATGAGTAGAATACATGAGTGAAACACAGTTTTGTGCATTCCTGATACACCAAATACATCTTACATTACTTTACTTACTTTAAACAATGGATTTTAATCTTCATGTTGTGCATGAACAGGATGAATTTGAGTTGAAAACAAGCATGTTTTCCACCCTTATCTTTTATTGGCTTTAAAGGCTTCCAAAATATCTTAGGAAAACAATAAGACAATATTTTATAGAGAAAACAACAGGACAATAATTACAATTCCACAGGTTAAATCAGGGACTATTTCAGGAGTGAGAGTCATACTTGGGGTGTTAAATTATTTCTGTCTACAAGGATTAATACTGAGTTGGCAATACTAGGAGCAGGAACATAATATATCTCCTATTGGTAAGCAAGGGCTGAAAGTTTGGTGCACATACTCACCCAATGTATAAAGTTGTCATATTTTATTATCCATTATATCATCCAATTATTTGTACCTAAATGGAGGGGGGTGTCACACCACCAATAGGGGGGCTGTTCTTGAACTCAACCTTGGAATTTCAGATTTCCCAATCTAAACTAATATAACTTTTGGGAACAGACAAAAAAAAAGAACTAGCATCAGTGCCTATAGTATAAGAAGACTTGTGAGGAGTAGCTATCCAGAGCAAGTAGGTAGGCAATTTCTTGGTCTCTTATTTTCAATCTTCATCATGGTATAGAGATGTTTGCATCTAATCCATAAAATCTCAACTGGAAGTCTCCTTACCTAGAAGGTACAGGAATTCAATTTATTAGTCATAGGTTAAGCATTCTGGTATAGAAAGGGACATTATTGATCTATATCAGTGGTTCTTAATTTTTGGTTCATGGACCCCTGAGGAGCCATGACATCATCACAAGGAGTCAGCAAAAGCTTGAAGAAATGTTATGATTTAAATCTTGAGTTAAGTCTTGGTGGCCACAAAAGGTATTTAAAGGGGGTCCATGGTGAAGAAAAGGTTGAGAACCATTGACCTATAACAATGACTGGAAACTCCTTAGAGACTTTTTGCATAAAAAGGAAAATGCATTTTCTTCTGGAACCAACCAACCAAAATATGAAAATAATGTAGGTTTCCAGGAAAAATGTTTTTTTTTAATTCTGGATCCACTGTTTCTATTTAAAAAAATAATTATTATTCATATATCTTTAATGTAGGAAACCTGCTTATTTGGGATTTATACAGATATAAATACAGATTCCCTTGTAATAAAAGATGCCAACACTAATGCAGCAAAATGAAAAAAACATTCTCAACATAATGAATCTTTCTGAGCCAAACCGAGGGAGGCATTCTTTAAAAATGGTACTTAGTGATGATAAATATATGCAAATAACCATAATTGGGCACACCTTGTAATAAAATTCTACAATCCACATAAGTTATATTAATGAAAATCAATGTGGTTTTAATTTATCCTGCCACTACCAAAGAAAGGAGCACAGTTAATTTTTTTTTTGTTTCCCAATTATAGCATTTTTAAAGAATCCCATTTTAGGGTATACTAGTGAGGTATAAAAAATCCATGCAATTTTTATACTTTCCCAATAACCCTTGCAACCCATGTCATCCCATCACAATTCATTCCAAGAGCAAGATCACAGCTTAATATTGTTTCCACATATCTTGGTTTTCCTTATCAGTTAGGGTTTTATAATAATAAAAAACTGAAAGATGATTTTGTAATTGTACTTATATTTTCTGCATAGAAAATTGGAAGCTTCTCTTTCTTTTATTCAGAGAGAGTGGCGGGGGGCGGGAGCAACATAGTTAACATTTCCCAGGAATGTCTGGAGCTAGAATTTAGCTACTTTTAAAGAATCACAGAGAAGTACATATGTTTATGTATGTTTGTTTGTATGTACGTACATACATACATACATATATACATATATACATACACTGTATTGCATCTTTCATTTTGTCTTTACAATTGCCATATGTCAAACATTTCAGAAGATTGGACCATATATTTATATATTTGAGATTTGAAAATCTGTGGTTTCTTTTATACTTTTAAGGCATTGTATAAAATAATGAATAACTTTTAGCCCATGGAAAATAAAGAAAAACTTCTGTTCTCTTTATCTCTTTCATACAAGATGATGAAGAATGATATTCCCCAGCAAGTATCAATAATCTTTTAGGTTTGTAATTAAAACACTATCAAGCAATTACTAATGTTTAAGTCAAATATACTGCACAAAATCAACTTTCCAGTTTCTATATAGTTTAGAAAAGAGAAAGCTGGGTAACATATTTCTTTCTGTAACTATCAAACTCTGAATATTTGGGACACATTGTCAGGGCATATCTAAAGAACTGGACAAAATGTCAAAATTATTTTCATTAAATAAATAATTTACATACTGAGATGGTAAAATTGTCAAGGCTTATAAGACAAATCAACTGAAAATTTTAATTTCTTAAATCTTCTTTAATGTCACCCAAACAATGCAAAATTTTAAATTGCTTCTAGAAATCCAGCTTCACTATAAAATCAAAATTCTTGCCTTCTGCATTCTGAAAATTAGTTGGGACATGTAATTCATTCTTTTTGCCTTATTAATTAGTCAGGTCTCTGAGATGGACGGAGATGCCAGTTGAATGAATGAATAAGTAGATATGTAAGTAAGTAAGAGGTAAGTAAGAAAGTAAGTAAGAAAGTAATCATAACCCATTTAATTGGCAATCAAATTTAGAAAGATAGGCAAACAGATTGCCCAGGATGGAACTGGACAGAAGACTATCTGAGGTAAGAATGAGATAAAGGAATGGATGACTGCAATCATGATAAAATTGACCACCGCCACAAAAACTTGTCTCAAATATCACTAATCACTTTCCTTCTCCCATTAATAAAGAGAGTCAATTTCACACAGGACTTTTCGGAGAACAAAACTACTGAATTTCCCTTTACCTGTGTTATGATAATGTTACAAAAACCAGCTCTCCTACAGGGCAACCTTTTTCCTTTCTCTCCCCTTCCCTTCCCTTCATTATTTTTATGTTCAAACCTAAAAGAAGTGTTTGCTCTTGCTAATTTATATTTTTTGCTACTTTATTTTGTTTTATTATTTTTTATTGAGTCAAACAGAACAATCAAACAGCAATTTTAAAAATGCAGATTACAAAAGAAAAAATATGAATTTTACATAGCAATTGTTATAGAAGTCCCCTATATTTTCTTTCTTTCTTCTCACAAAATAACAGTCCTTATTCCTGAAGTGTTGCCACTGTTCTTTTTGAATTCATCCTGACAATCCACTAAACCTACCTTAACAAAAAAGCATGATGATGTATGCATCTGCTGTTTCCTATGTAGTAGATACATACCACTCAAGAAAAAATGAACAGTGTGATGCATGTCTACAGAAAAATATAAACCATTAGATTCTTTGTGAATAAATATAAGAGTATCTTTACTATGGTATCTGAAGGCTAAGAATTGTCCAGAAATTTATTACCAGCCATGAATTAATAGTCAAGACAAGAATTAATAGACATTACACCTATGACATGTATTTGACACAATATGTTTATACGGATTCTCAGTTATCCAGGTCATGGTTGTTCCAAGGTGCTTTTTCAAGAGGCAACTTAACTTTCTGATTTTTCTTTGAAGATGTTTCGCTTCTCATCCAAGAAGAAGCTGAAGCACCTTGGGATTTGACACAATACATTGTGTTCACCTCATTGACCTAGTTGTCAATATAGTTGTCCTACCTTGTTTCATTTTCAAAGTGATCAAACTACATTCTTTATGAATTCACTATTTTTGCGGTGATGGTTATGTTGAATATAATAGTGAAGATGATGGAAAAGAAAGAGAAAGACAATGTGAGAGAACCAGATTCACTGGCACTACATTGATTTGCAAAATTGCATCTAAAGTAAAACTGGATTATTTAGTTCACGCTAAGCTTGAGTTCTAGGTCCAGTTTACCTGAGGGTGCCATTTCATGCTTTAATAAAATTTACAAAACATCTCCTAACCTATTAGAAGTGCACAAGCATGAAAGCAAAGATTGGAGGCATCTTAGACACAATAGAAACCAACAAAGCTTTAGGTTATAGGACATTGTATAAAGGACACATATAACGATGTAATGGTTAAAGTGAAGAACAAAAATTCAAACTAAAATTCAGTTACATCATATGCTTTCAGAACAAATTTAGAACAAAATTATATCTTACCCAATGTATTT